AGCCCTGCAGGGCTCCTGCAGCACTCCGCTCAAGGCCTTCGCGATGCGCCTGCGGTTTGCTGCCGACCACTTAGAGCCCTGCATGCACACACAAACGCTGCTGCTGCTGCTGCTGCTGTTGCTGTTGCTGCTGCTGCTGCTGCGGCAGCTGTTGCTGCCGCTGCTACGGTTGCCGGTGTTGCTGCTTGTGGGGCTGGGGGTTTTTGGTGGGCTTGCGGTGGACGGGGCTTGGGGTTTGCCGTTTCGGGGCTGCTGCTGCTGCAGCAGTTGCTGCTGCTGCTGCTGCAGTTAGCTGCGTTTCTACTCGCCTGATACAGTCGAATTCTAGCCCCGCACTACGAGGCAAACTCTTCTGCTGCTGCTGCTGCTGCTGCTGCTGTTGCTGCAGCTACTTCGCTTACCGCTTCCCAGCCCCTGAATTTGATGGTGGGTTTCTCTTGCTGCTGCTGCTCGGCGTCTGCTGCTGCTGCTGTTGCTGCTGCTGCGTCCTCCTCGGGGCGGCACAAGATCTGCTGCGCCTCCCCAATGCCTATGGCCCACTGAAAAGCTGCAAACTTTCTTGTGTCTGCTGCTAGCTCTTCAGCAGTGATGACGCGCTGCAGCAGCGAGATGCTGCTGCTGCTGCTGCTGCTGTAGAACGACGGCGCGGCATCCATCGTCTCGGGAGCGAAAAGTTGCTGTCGGGCGGTTCCCGAGCTGTTGCTGCTGCAGTTCCTGCTGCAGCTAGCTAATCCAGTCGCTGCTGCTGCTGCTGCTGCGGAGAGGCCGCCGCCACTGCTGGGGCTGCTCCTGCTGCTGCTGCTCCCGCTGCGGATGTTTCTGGAGCACGCGCTGTACAGACACCGCAAACTTTTGGCCCAAAATGTCAAAAATATTACACGAAGAATGTGCTGCTGCTGCTGCTGCTGCTGCTCCTGCTGTTGCTGCTGTTGCTGCAGTGACGCCTACCTACGCATGCAGCTGCTGCCTTGTCGCGACAGCTCCCCCTCCTGCTGCTCCCGTGGGGAGGTGAATGTGGCTGCTGCTGCGAATGCTGTTGCTGCTGCTGCTTCCTCAGCAATGTCTTCTTTCTATTTAAATTAATTAATTAAAAATATATTTATACATTATTCCAGCTTAAATTCAAGTCTTCAGAACAATTGAAACCACAATCTCGGGCTGCCGCCGCAGCAGCAGCCGCTGCTGCTGCCGCTGTTACGGCTGGGG